AGTTTTAATTTATAGCGTAATTAATCCACGTAGCCAGGATGTAGCCTAATATAACTTTTAATTTGCTTGGCCCTTGCCAGTAAAATATACGGTTCAAAAAGTAAAAATGCTTATAGTCTTAGAGTTACGTTCTTTTTTGCAATAGAACCAAGAGCGGCCAAATAAAAATAATATGGATGTAAAATGCTTAGTTTTAGATTTACATTCTTTTGTTCCAACAGAACCATTTGCTGAAATCTACCGATTTGGTTTTCGCCCAAAAACGGCTGGCCCATAAATTACAGTAAGCCTCTTTTCCATTCATTTATTTATTTAATTTATTTATTTAATTCGCCTTGTACATATTAAATAGTAATGTCTTTTAAATAGCATTTTCATGGCGGGCCGCCTGTCAGTGAAAAATATCAGCAAAGATGATTTCCACTCCGTTCTGCGCATCAGTTCTGCTCATAACAAAGAGGGACCCCCAGGCCCCAGATATATGAACATTGCCCAAATTTTGCATCTTTTGAACTTTTTGAATTAAAACGTAGAATTTATATTCATTTACAAGCATAGCGATCCAGAAAAGTATTAGATATTCAGTTAGTGTATCACATTTTACAAATATAGCAGTAAAAAACGTAAACAAAGTTCGCGCATGGGCACAGGAGTGGACATCATCTTTACTATTTTCACGCATTCAACGAGACCTTTCTTATTAATTATTGACGTCAAACACGGAAAATAATTAATTAATGCGACGTCCCATTTGGTCCCAAGGGACAATTCGTAATGAAATGTTTTTTTATGGAATTTATTGGCTGGCCAGTCCTGTAAGGGACCGTTCATTATATAAATTATGCCTCAGGGGGGGCACCGAAGACGGAAATAAAAATTGGCTACTCGAAGTATTATTTTCTTTTACCCAACCCTTATACAACTGAAGATTTGTATGGTTATAAATAGCTTGTTTTTTCATATATAAACTACTAATGTTTGATACATACACATGAACATTGAATTCCAAAACTATTTTTACTCAAGTAAAGAAATTTGAAAAATTCAAGTAAAGGACACATACCAGAGGGTTTCTATTCAGTAAAGGCTAATTTTTCCTTTACCCACCCTTTCTACATACCAAATTATTGGTTACCCAACCCCATTTCTCTTCGGTGCCCCTAGTCCAGTCAAATCACTATAAGTACATGGTTCTGATCAAAGTAATCGCAATAGATTTGTTTTCAGTGGTAAAGTGAGAAAAGTTGTTCTGATTAACATACTAAAAATCCCAAAAAATCCCTTCGGTGGAACATGGTGAAAATCGAGTTTTTCTTACTTCTACCTATAGAAAACCATTGTGGACAGAATGTTGAAATCACAGTTTAGGCAAATGTAACCTACATTATTGGAAAGCTTAGAAAAAACTAAATATAGATCATTAAACGGTTACCTTGTTTTTGCCTATCCAGCCGAAGTTATACAAGATTTAAAATGCCATAAATTTGTATTTTGTGCAAATTTGCGCTATTTTTCCAACTTTGAGCTAGAATAACGACAAACTGACCAGTAAATTGAATATAACGGTTTAATTGACCTTTATATAGTTTTGTTTAGGCTTTCCAATAATGTAGGTTACATTTGCCTAAATTAAAATGATTTCAAAATTTGAACATTCTGTCCACAATGGTTTTCTATAGATAGAAGTAAGAAAAACTCGATTTTCGCCATGTTCCACCGAAGGGATTTTTTGGGATATTTAGTATGTTAATCAGGACACCTTCCCTCACATTTTACCACTGAAATAAAATTCTATTGCAATTTCTTTGACCCCTGGTCACAGATTACCTGGACTACCCCCGGAGGCATAAATAATGAACGGTCCCTAAAGGCTCGTTTACCGACTTGCAAATTTTGCTGCGATTTCTAGAAGTGTGATTTTCCTCTTCTGATGGATGTGAACGAGTGGATGAGTTACGAATTTTCTGAGTACATTTACCCTCATCTGAACATTGTTAACATTGATAACTCACCTACTTCTTCACATCCATCAGAAGAAGAAAATCGCACCGAAAATCGCAACACTGAAAAATTGCAAGTGCAAAGATCCAGACACACCGAACGCGATTCGACAACGTGAAGCGATTTTTTAGTTTTTGCAAGTTAATAAAATAGCCAATGAGAGCAAAGTTTAAAAGGTATGTAGACCAAATAACTCAAAATGTTATAACGCTTCTAAATATTTGGAAAATTTAAACTAGGATCAAAGTTATACGTTCAGTGAAAATCAAAAATTCGCGTCGCGTTGTCGAATCGCGTTCGGTAAACCTACCTTAAACGGGGCTTCTTGAGATATCGCATGATTGGTTTTCCACATTTGACGTCATGACAAGGGTCTAGTGTTGAATTATGCTGAAATGACTTCCTCTGGCACCTTGATGGTCTTTAATCTTATAAGTCTTCGAGTTCCTGTCATTTGTGGCCGTTACGTATGCCGCGTCAAGTACAACTTGTTCCCGCTTGATATCGATAGGCTTGAACACGATTAATTGTGCTGCAACCTAAGAACAGGTTGTCAACAAGATTGTTACAGCATTGTTACGACTGAACAAAGTTGTAACAATAGATATCAGTAAGCAACACGTCGTTGTTGGCAAAAGAAGTTGGCAAAGTGTCTTTTTTATGGGCAAACAATGTTAGACGATGTTGGATTGGGTTGAATAGGGCGAGGAGTCGACAAACAAAACAAACACCTTGTGTTTTTAAAAACCGATTTAATAACCAATGTTGTTGTTCTGGGCAAAGAAACGGAAAAAAATTGGAAAACTATTCTGAAACTCAGTAATATTGAAACAAAATGACAAAATAACGGCGCTAGTTCATGGGAACGACCATTATTAGCGAAACACCAACAATAAGGGAAATCTGCCAGGATTTAACTGGGTGACCTCCTTGTCCTGATCCATTTCCAAAATAACCACCCCCGCCCACTCTCCTTCTCCCACCTCCTCTCCTTCCGCCACCTCCCCTACCCCCGCGGGCAGCTTTGACGGGCACACATTGAGAACTGTCAACACAGCGTCCATCAATGCAGCATTCACTGAGACATTGGACAGCCAAACAGCCTGATGGATGTAAACGAGTAGGTGAAGTGTTTCTTGTCACCTTGACTCGATCTTCTCTATTCGTCGTCTTCGCTTCTGTCGGAACTTTTGGTTCATCTGTAGTCACGAAGCTTGTAGTTGAACGCTTATTCGACGTGGGCTGAGTTGAATTGTGAACACGGCTCGAACCCCTCAAAGAGAGCCTATACAGTAGAACGGTTATTATATGAATAATTCTCAACAACTTTACCTGAACTAGATAACTCAATCACGTCTAAACTGTTCTACCTGGAGGTAATTTGTTGACGTGTAACGGCTCAATCAGGCATTAAAATAGCTTGTTTTTTGAGACTTTGTGTCATTGTAAGGAGAGTGTGTCCTTGTAAATCGAAAAGTGTGTACTTGGGACAGTGTACTTGGTCTTGGGAATAAATCCAGGAAAATCCATTTCCAGCAATTTCGACAGCAATTTTGTTTAAAGAAATATATATAAACCAGATATATGTATTTCTGCATGTTTATATATGTTTCTGATTTTTCTGTTTATAACATGTCAAGAAACGCCTGTAAAATTACCAATGGCTTCAATTATTTCCCTATGGGCGGCGGTTCATAATAATTTCTGCAGAAATCATGCTGCAAAAACCAAGTACCAAATGTAAAATTGTCTAAGTTACTAAATACCAATATCCGTGAAACCCCTGTTCAGGCCTGATTGATATTCTCGTCAGAAAAGTATTCTATTCTAACAAGAATTAATATTTTTACCAGAGATTTTCTCTTCCATTCCGAAATCTATTAACAGCCAAACATTTACAAACCTTTTCAAAAGACAACTGCTACATATTGAGTTTACACAGCAGTCGCCATCGCAATGTACGTCAAGTTCACATGATAACCCCAAACATCTCTCACGGCAAAGTACATCACCCGCAGGTATGGTACAACATCTTAACTCACAGTTCTGACCAGATTTACATTCTTTTGCACTGGCCAGTAACACGAAACTGTGTAAAACAATCAGAAATTTGAACAACATGGCTTTAACAAAGTTTCACCACAAATGATTGACGATTCAGCAAGTGCGTGGTTATTTATCGAAAATACATTGACACGATAACAAAGAGCTCATTATATTGATAGAATAAATTATCGCTGAAGGGCAATCAATATAACATTTTTTGTTATGTTTCTTAGAAACCCCAAACAACAAGTAAGGCGAGACTTTTTTTATTCATTGGTTTACGGATCCGCCGACCGTAAATATTCAGAAAGTGAAAAAAAATAAAAAAAATTTGGATGTCAAAAATTTTACAATTTTAGTTAATTTTAACTAATTTGGGGGTTCTGGGATGAAGTAGACTTCAAGTGAACTTTGACTCTAGGTACTGCTGGCTCATGTTATCGTTGTGACAATCAATATGTAGATTAGTCACGTTTTTTGCGTTTTTTTTTAAATTGACGTTAAAAATTTTTATAAAGATTATTAATTTCGGTTCTCATTTATACTCAGTTCGTTTTTTTTTTTAATTTTTTTTCCGACCTACCGACCTCTTATTTTTAAAGTCAAATCCGTAAACCAATAAATAAAAAAAGTCTCGCCTAAGTTCTTCAAATTTTCGACAGCCAAGTAGTTCATCAGTGTGAATAAATACGTTAATCCAATCAATGTTATTTGTTTGCCTGTCTTCTCATTAGTATGCATAGTAGCCCTACCCACGTGAGGGCATTAAAACCATAGATATCTCATATACACTAGATAGCGCCAGCCGGTACGACCATATCCACATGACTATATAGTCGGTAAAGTATGCGAGTAAATGGCGACTGTCAGTCGCGCATCATGTATACTTCCAATCCAAACGCTAATCCTAACCCAAACCCTAATCCTAACCCTAATCCTAACCCTAATCCTAACCCCTAACCCTAACCCCTGACCCCTAACCCCTGACCCCTAACCCCACCTGCTAACCCCGCAACCTAACCGCAAACCCTAACCCCGGCCAGCTACCCCTCCCGGGAACTATCCTCCCACCTCCCCACCGTCCGCCGGGCTGGGACAGTTACACTTATAACTAAAACTCTTGTGCAGTGGTTACGGTTTACTAGCAGGCTCAGCCATACGACGGTGCACATTTTCCTCGACTATCAGTCGCCACTTTTCCGCATACTTTAGCGACTATCTAGTCGCATAAAATGGTCGTACCGGGTGATAGCGCATCTCGGAATACAAAACTGAAGCCAAAAATCTCAGCGGTTTCCCCCATGAAAATAGGCGGCGGCCATATTGGTCGTTCCCACTCATCAATGAAATGCTATAGAAAAAAATACTATACTTTTCG